AAAAAAAAGTGAATACTCTTTAGTACAGGGATCGGTTCTCACTATTATCTAGTTGCTTATTAGCATGCCTATTATTAACATATTGGCTGTTTATTATAATGCTTATAAAGCACATATTCTGCATGACCCTAATCCTTCCCAATACCTAAACTTAACAATTACCCTGCTAACTGTTAATAAGCAGCCAATTAGAAGTTTATTGTGGCAAAAGTAATGGTTTGTTAATAGCAAGAATTGAACCTTAAAATAAAGTGACAAATTCAGAAATGGTGTGTTATTGTCCGGTTTTAGATGATCAAAAGGGCTGTTCTTAACCAATTAGTACCAAGTAGTCATGCATCAAAATTTTGCCAACTGCAAATATTTGTTTGAAATAGCAAAAAAGGAAAAAACAATGAAGTTTACAGCGCTTCTCCTAGGGTCAGTGTCTATTTCATGCACACACTTTGCATAAACTACAACAGTAGTGCTGGATAACAATATCGACTTCTTGATTTGAATCAATCTTCATTTTGATGATTGGTTAAATCCCAAGGATGAGGTTTTAGTCTATGCCGTTTTCTGTTGGTATCTGAACGCACCTGGCATGCACTAATCACAGTAAGCTTCTTTTTTGTTCAAATTGTCAACATTTTATTGTGAAATTCAGAAATGACCATTTTGTATTTTTGCAATACCATTCCTCTGGCATAATAATAGCTCACAATATTACTTTTTTTTGTATTTTTGATCAGATAAATGGTGAACATAAGAGACTCCATTGAGAAACATTAAAAAAATCTTACTAACTCCAAACTTTTGATTGTAGCTCACTAGGTTTTAGAACAGAGCCAGTGACATCCTGCTTTAATTTTTATTTATTTATTTATTTATTTTAGACGTGAATGAATGCTCTTCAACTCAAAACCAGTGTAGTCCATATGCCACCTGCTATAACACACCTGGTTCATACAAGTGCAAGTGTAAGGACGACTACAGAGGTCTGGGCTACGACTGCAAACGTGAGTATGCATACCAAAGAATTACTGCGATTGCATCATAACAGCTCGCTACACTAAAAGTAACATTTTTATTGGCATCTGTGGTTTAATAAAGAACACCAATGGAATCTTTCCATACCACAAAAGGTTCCTTATAGTAGAAAATGGTTCTTTAGGTTATTAAAATGTTCTTCAGGCTAAAAAAAAGGGTTGTTTTAAGAACTGATCACTGAAAGATTCTTTGAGGGAACCTTTATTGATGCACAATCTGCTATACTACAGTGGATACAGAAATCCAAACTGAGAATAAAATTATTATCAAACTTTCCAGTTTTATTACTGTTTATATTCTGAAGGTTGTTGCATAGCATTTTATTCTTGGCTGTTGACAGAATTTTCTGATTTATGATGTGATAAAAAAGATATCCAAAATCCCCTGCGTAAAACCTTTTAACTCTAATATGTCAACAACAACAACATAATTTCAAACCTGGCATTATCCAGGAAATTCATGCAAATTAGTAGACCTGGGTAAAAAAATATCGATATCTCGATATTAATCGATTCTCATTTTTACGGAACGATGTCGATTCTTAAATCCCAAGAATCGATTAGTCTAGCCTGTTTTCAGTTAATGGACGGAACATTGAAGGGTACTTCCCATCCAATAAATTGTAATAAGCATTGTACTTTGGTACTTTTATTATGAAACAAAATCTCAGATTTCAAATATTGTCCACTGTATTGCAGTATAAATGCTGTTTAATGTGGAGTGATAAATCACTGTAGCGCCTCAGTTCAACAGACGTGGCAGCGCGAGGCACACGTGAACTGAATCATCTCCTCCACATTAATACCAGTTTCAGCACAAAATAAACATGACTAAACATCCGAAGGTAAGTTAAAAGAAAGAGTACAACTTTACAATCCGTATTCTGTCTCATGTAATCGTTCAATCTGTGTTTCAGCCGCGCAAAGACGTCAATATAACGGCTTGTAAACAATGTCACGTAACGTCAAACTTTACCTCTGAAAAAACATATTCGGTGACCATAAACTCATTTGTCGGATAGAAAAATAAACTGTAGAGAGGGGCATTTTGCTTAATATATGCACCATATAACATATTCATTATATTTGTTTACTGTAATTCAATGCTTCATTTATGTTTGTATAAATTCATCAAGTTTTTATGACAGCCACCATTTAAATGTTTATATTTAAAAAAATAATAATTGAAGTAGAAATATTATTATGTAACTATAACTTTATTATTGTAAAACAGTTTAACCTTCAATATTATAGTAATGTAGTACCAACTGACTCTCATGTATATTTTACAGTATTAGTTGAGGTATTTTTTTTCCTTGAGAAAATTTGGCATGTACTGTACCTGATATATATAAAAAATAATCGATATTGGATCGAATCACAAGCTTGTGAATGAGAATCGAATCGAATCGTGAAATTTGTGTCAAAACCCAGCCCTACAAATTAGTGCATTTTTCAGTACATAATCTATTATTTGCATATTTCAACATAACATTTCAGAAAGCTTGTAATAGAAAAACAGTTGTCTTAATTTACTGTAATTAATCAACTGCGGAAGTATGTTGATATTTTTTATTTAAAATGTTTACTCTTTTCACCTGTGGGGTCTTGCCGTAGACCATTACTGCAACTGCAGCTACAGAACTGGGGTAAATGTGTCCTTTTTGTAGACATTTTTCCCTTTCCTTGGATTGGTGCTCTTGTCAGTAATGAAAAGAAGATGGATGGTGCAAAATCTTGATGAAAAGCCGCAGTCTCAGCCAGGAAGTTGAACATAGGTAGACTGTTAAGCTTTCAGCGTGACAGCATCCCATAGCACAATGCCAACACAGTGAATAGTGGCCGAATTACAGGAAGGACAGTGTCCACGAGTGGCCGAGACCTGACTGAAATATTCAAACAATCTTTGGAATGAACTGAGCTGGACAGTCCATCAATGGTTACATTCCAAATTCATGTAGATGACAATAAATGAGAAAAAAAATAAAGGAAATATATATGAAAAAAATATGCCCTACTTCCATTTAATATATTTTAAAATGTAATTTATTTCTGTGATGGCAAAGCTGAATTTCCCTTCAGTGCCATGAGATCAAGCTAATATGCTGATTTGCTGCTCAACAGTTGTGCTGCATAATATTTTTAGTGGAAACCATGATACATTTTTCAGGATTTGAGTGGCCGAGTCCTGACTGAAATATTCAAACAATCTTTGGAATGAACTGAGCTGGACAGTCCATCAATGGTTACATTCCAAATTCATGTAGATGACAATAAATGAGAAAAAAATAAAGGAAATATATATGAAAAAAATATGCCCTACTTCCATTTAATATATTTTAAAATGTAATTTATTTCTGTGATGGCAAAGCTGAATTTCCCTTCAGTGCCATGAGATCAAGCTAATATGCTGATTTGCTGCTCAACAGTTGTGCTGCATAATATTTTTAGTGGAAACCATGATACATTTTTCAGGATTCTTTAATGAAGAGAAAGTTTCAAAAGAACAGAATTTATTAAATGGGAGAAATGACATGTCTGGGTCATCATTTTTCTCAGTAAATATATTTCTAAAGGTGCTGTTGGCATGAATTTTTCAGCAGATGTCGGTAACAACCCAAGTAATCCATACATACAAAGAAAACAAAACAAATACATTTAAAAATTAAGTTATGTGTAATAAAATGGAATGACGCAGGGGGAAAGTATTGAACACGCATACTGAAATGTATTTATTACTTTGTACAAAAGCCTTTGTTGGTAATGACAGCTTCAAGACGCCTCCTGGATGGAGAAACTAGTCGCATGCATTGCTCAGGTGTGATTTTGGCCCATTCTTCCACACAAACAGTCTTCAAATCTTGAAGGTTCTGTAGGCCTCTTCTATGAACTCTGATCTTTAGTTCTTATTTTCTATTGGAGTCAAGTCAGGTGACATCAAACTTTGATGTGGCATTCTAGCAGCTTTATTTGTTTCTCTGAAACCAATTGAGAGTTTTCTTGGCTTGGGATCATTGTCTTGCTGAAATGTCCACCCTTGTTTCATCTTCATCATCCTGGCACTGTAGGTATTGGAACTGAAGCAGCTAATATTCATTTCCACTGACTAGGGGCAGGATTGCTTTCTAATTACTGATAGATTTCTGCTGGTGTCTTGGCTTTCCATGCCTTTTTGCACCTCCCTTTCTTCATGTGTTCAATACTTTTTCCCTGAGTCATTCCATTTTATTACACAGAAATTAATTTCTGAACTTATTTGTTTTGTTTTTACCAATTACTTGGGTTGTTACCAACCTCTGGTGAAAATTTCAAGTCAACAGCACCTTTAGAAATATATTTACAGAATTTTCTGATTTATGATGTGATAAAAAAGATATCCAAAATCCCCTGCGTAAAACCTTTTAACTCTAATATGTCAACAACAACAACATAATTTCAAACCTGGCATTATCCAGGAAATTCATGCAAATTAGTAGACCTGGGTAAAAAAATATCGATATCTCGATATTAATCGATTCTCATTTTTACGGAACGATGTCGATTCTTAAATCCCAAGAATCGATTAGTCTAGCCTGTTTTCAGTTAATGGACGGAACATTGAAGGGTACTTCCCATCCAATAAATTGTAATAAGCATTGTACTTTGGTACTTTTATTATGAAACAAAATCTCAGATTTCAAATATTGTCCACTGTATTGCAGTATAAATGCTGTTTAATGTGGAGTGATAAATCACTGTAGCGCCTCAGTTCAACAGACGTGGCAGCGCGAGGCACACGTGAACTGAATCATCTCCTCCACATTAATACCAGTTTCAGCACAAAATAAACATGACTAAACATCCGAAGGTAAGTTAAAAGAAAGAGTACAACTTTACAATCCGTATTCTGTCTCATGTAATCGTTCAATCTGTGTTTCAGCCGCGCAAAGACGTCAATATAACGGCTTGTAAACAATGTCACGTAACGTCAAACTTTACCTCTGAAAAAACATATTCGGTGACCATAAACTCATTTGTCGGATAGAAAAATAAACTGTAGAGAGGGGCATTTTGCTTAATATATGCACCATATAACATATTCATTATATTTGTTTACTGTAATTCAATGCTTCATTTATGTTTGTATAAATTCATCAAGTTTTTATGACAGCCACCATTTAAATGTTTATATTTAAAAAAATAATAATTGAAGTAGAAATATTATTATGTAACTATAACTTTATTATTGTAAAACAGTTTAACCTTCAATATTATAGTAATGTAGTACCAACTGACTCTCATGTATATTTTACAGTATTAGTTGAGGTATTTTTTTTCCTTGAGAAAATTTGGCATGTACTGTACCTGATATATATAAAAAATAATCGATATTGGATCGAATCACAAGCTTGTGAATGAGAATCGAATCGAATCGTGAAATTTGTGTCAAAACCCAGCCCTACAAATTAGTGCATTTTTCAGTACATAATCTATTATTTGCATATTTCAACATAACATTTCAGAAAGCTTGTAATAGAAAAACAGTTGTCTTAATTTACTGTAATTAATCAACTGCGGAAGTATGTTGATATTTTTTATTTAAAATGTTTACTCTTTTCACCTGTGGGGTCTTGCCGTAGACCATTACTGCAACTGCAGCTACAGAACTGGGGTAAATGTGTCCTTTTTGTAGACATTTTTCCCTTTCCTTGGATTGGTGCTCTTGTCAGTAATGAAAAGAAGATGGATGGTGCAAAATCTTGATGAAAAGCCGCAGTCTCAGCCAGGAAGTTGAACATAGGTAGACTGTTAAGCTTTCAGCGTGACAGCATCCCATAGCACAATGCCAACACAGTGAATAGTGGCCGAATTACAGGAAGGACAGTGTCCATGAGTGGCCGAGTCCTGACTGAAATATTCAAACAATCTTTGGAATGAACTGAGCTGGACAGTCCATCAATGGTTACATTCCAAATTCATGTAGATGACAATAAATGAGAAAAAAATAAAGGAAATATATATGAAAAAAATATGCCCTACTTCCATTTAATATATTTTAAAATGTAATTTATTTCTGTGATGGCAAAGCTGAATTTCCCTTCAGTGCCATGAGATCAAGCTAATATGCTGATTTGCTGCTCAACAGTTGTGCTGCATAATATTTTTAGTGGAAACCATGATACATTTTTCAGGATTCTTTAATGAAGAGAAAGTTTCAAAAGAACAGAATTTATTAAATGGGAGAAATGACATGTCTGGGTCATCATTTTTCTCAGTAAATGTATTTCTAAAGGTGCTGTTGGCATGAATTTTTCAGCAGATGGCGGTAACAACCCAAGTAATCCATACATACAAAGAAAACACAACAAATACATTTAAAAATTAAGTTATGTGTATTAAAATGGAATGACGCAGGGGGAAAGTATTGAACACGCATACTGAAATGTATTTATTACTTTGTACAAAAGCCTTTGTTGGTAATGACAGCTTCAAGACGCCTCCTGGATGGAGAAACTAGTCGCATGCATTGCTCAGGTGTGATTTTGGCCCATTCTTCCACACAAACAGTCTTCAAATCTTGAAGGTTCTGTAGGCCTCTTCTATGAACTCTGATCTTTAGTTCTTATTTTCTATTGGAGTCAAGTCAGGTGACATCAAACTTTGATGTGGCATTCTAGCAGCTTTATTTGTTTCTCTGAAACCAATTGAGAGTTTTCTTGGCTTGGGATCATTGTCTTGCTGAAATGTCCACCCTTGTTTCATCTTCATCATCCTGGCACTGTAGGTATTGGAACTGAAGCAGCTAATATTCATTTCCACTGACTAGGGGCAGGATTGCTTTCTAATTACTGATAGATTTCTGCTGGTGTCTTGGCTTTCCATGCCTTTTTGCACCTCCCTTTCTTCATGTGTTCAATACTTTTTCCCTGAGTCATTCTACTTTATTACACAGAACATAATTTCTGAAATTATTTGTTTTGCTCTGTAGGCCTCTTCTATGAACTCTGATCTTTAGTTCTTATTTTCTATTGGAGTCAAGTCAGGTGACATCAAACTTTGATGTGGCATTCTAGCAGCTTTATTTGTTTCTCTGAAACCAATTGAGAGTTTTCTTGGCTTGGGATCATTGTCTTGCTGAAATGTCCACCCTTGTTTCATCTTCATCATCCTGGCACTGTAGGTATTGGAACTGAAGCAGCTAATATTCATTTCCACTGACTAGGGGCAGGATTGCTTTCTAATTACTGATAGATTTCTGCTGGTGTCTTGGCTTTCCATGCCTTTTTGCACCTCCCTTTCTTCATGTGTTCAATACTTTTTCCCTGAGTCATTCCATTTTATTACACAGAAATTAATTTCTGAACTTATTTGTTTTGTTTTTACCAATTACTTGGGTTGTTACCAACCTCTGGTGAAAATTTCAAGTCAACAGCACCTTTAGAAATATATTTACAGAGAAAAATGGTAACGTGTTCAATACTTATTTTACACGCTGTATATATCCTTTAGAAAAATAAATAAATAAAATGAAATGAAATAGTAAAAAACAAAATGCTGGCAATAATTTCCTGGCGATTCATTTTAATTAATTAAAAAAGTTAAATAGTATGTGGCTGAAGGGATTTTGTTGTTGTTGTTGCAACACTTTAGATCTGAAAGAAAATATCTGTCTTGCAAATCATCTCCCTGTCTGGAATGCTTTTGTCTGCTGTGGCTTTAGTCAGGAGTGTCTTGAGGTTGATAGCTGCCATGTTTTTAATCTTCGTGAACAAAGAGAGGCTCACCGTGAGCATCAGGTGACATCACAACTGAGCACTCCACTGCTTTTACACACCACTGTAAGTGGCTTTATCTGTGTAGTGTTATACATGCATTGCTGTAGTCTTGATATTGTTATTATTTGTTGAGTGGACAAAAATACAGCTGTTTTGAGTCTGACACCTGATTTAATCAATGTTAAACCAATGAGGCAACACATCCCTCCTCAGCATCTGGTCTAGAAACTTTCAGCCAGGTGTAACTCAGAAGTGCTGAAAGGGTTGAATTACTGCTTTTTTGGGAATCGCATATCAAAGCTCCTGTGAAACCTGAGATAGTATTGTCACATTCATTCCTTAAGGACGACACAAGCACGACGGTTTACACTTCTGGTATTCACGTCAAATGTGATGGATGGCTTTCGTGCATTCATTGTACACATGAGTTGAAACCATCCTTTTTATTTTCATCTAAAATGAATGGTGAAATTTCTACTGGAGCCTTATTTGACATAATTATGATGAATTACAAAGCTAGAGTAACAGCAAAAATACAACAAGAAAAAGGGAAGAACTAATGGTCCTGAAAAATATGTGAATAATAATGAAAAACAACTTAAACCAGACCTCTTTTTTTATATTTTCAACTGATTAGTCTAGTTGTTGTATTATTAGCTTAACTTACAGTAAACATTTATTTTTAAATATTTTAAATAAATTTAAAAATATTTGTGTATTTTACAAATATAAAAAATAATTACATTTTGGGCATTATTTAGCTGGTCAGGCTTGGAGACCAACTTGACAACCAGTTAAACCATCTGAATGCAAGCTATGCCAGATTTAAACCTATGCAACGAGGAAAAAGACTTGGTTGAGACTAACTTAACTTCAAATTAAACTAAGAATCCTCTTTGTTCTTTTAGCCATCCCGAAGGTGGTAATTGACCCACCACGACCTGGAAAGACCACGCCGAGCAACAATAACAACAAAGGGGGCAATAAAATTCCAGGCTCAGACCAGAAGAGGACCACCACAACAATCAGACCACCTGTGACGGCTAAACGGATCTCACCTACAGCAACAACAATAACCACTAAACCTCCTCCAACCAAAAAAATCACCCCTCCAGCGAGAGTCCCAACGACCACCACCCGTAGGCCTCTCATCCCGACACGTAAACCCCCTGTGGTGGTGACAACAAAACCTAAGCTCCCATCCCGTCAGCAGCCTACCACAAAAGCCCCGGTGGTTACAGCGGTGGTTCCCTTTATCCCAACACGCAGACCTTTCATCCCGTTTGTGACGCCAGTTGATAACAGCATTAAAGACATTACCCAGAAACAAAGAGGGGATGTTCACAGTAAGTAAATCTGCTTCAATGTTATTTAGATTGTCACAATTCCTCTGCCTTAAAGTGCGGTCACATTAACGAAATTTGGGCGACTCGCACAGAAGTTAGTTTCAAAACAAGCAGCTTTTTGTAGGTCAACGTGACAAATCAGTGCGACCAACTTGAACCCTTTGCTAAATCTGCATGGGTAAATCTTTAGGCCTCGCATGAAATTCCTGATCACTTGGATTCCTAATGAAATGACTGGATTTCGCTTATGAAAATTCGCCAAACACAGGGGTGTCCAGTCCTGCTCCTGGCGCATCAGTGTCCTGAAGAGTTTTGCTCTGAACTGCCTTAACACACTTTCTTCGAAGTTTCTAGTAATCCGAAACAACTTGATTACCTGGTTCAGGTCTTTAATTAGGATTGAAGCGGAACCAGAGGTGTCCATTCCTTCTCCCTGAGGGCCAGTTTTCTTAAGAGTTTAACTCCAACAAGTCAAGTGCGAGTCACCTTGACTAACTTGATTCAGGTAAAATTAGGGTTGGAGCTAAACTCTGCAGACCAATGGACCTCCAGGGGAAAGATTGGATAGCCCTGCATTAGTTGAGCCAACCTGTAAGTTTTTGAGCCTGAAATGACTCTTCGCAAAGACCTGCCCCCTTAGTTACTGTTGCTATGTCCGACAACCCATGGCGCTCTCACACCACACATCATGTGAAAAATCACGCAAACTGACAACGCGTCGACAGACAAGACAGATCAGGTTACTTCTGGTGTCAAACAAAGTCTCAGCTTTCAAATTTTGTAATTTTTTAAAGAAATTCCAACAATAAATGTGTCACTTTAATGTGTCGTAACAGATCGCTGTAGTGCCGATCAAACGATCATCTCTTCCTCTTTACTAGTTATTTGATGAAATAAACAAATTAAAATCAGATTGTTTCAACCAAAAGACGTCAATACACTTTTCAAGTTCAATTCCACCAACATTAATCTACTCTCCGTCTGGTTTGTTTGTCAGACAAAAATGGCAGATTTGGTAATATGATCACTTGTCAATCAAACTCCCAGCGAAGTGTAAATTGACCAGTTTTATAAGATATCGAAATGAATACTTGACAAACATTTGATGTCTAGAGATTTCAGGCATCTTTCCATGTTCAGATCGATTGGAGCTAGGAAACAGCTGCTATGGGAGTTTCCAAGATAGCCACCTAGTGAATTTACTTGCTTTAAAGCCCTTTGATACCATAGTGTGTGCCATATAATTTTATGATTCTGAAACATGCTCCCCAGTGCCTCCTCAATGCATTCTTTGCTGAGCTCGCACTAGTCTATGCAACAGTCCGTGTGCTGTTTTGTAACCAATGTGTGAATTCAGAGGAGAACCGCTGAGTGCATCATTTGGGACTGAGCCATGAAGGCCTTTGGATCTGTCCAGGAAAACCATTTCCAGGCCTAAAGGACTATGTTGTTTCCTTCACATTCATAAGCTTTTTTGGGCATCTCCTGGGCTTCCCACAAGGCAGATTTTTCAGGGAAGCAAATTGCACCCCAAAGCCTCCTATCCAGATGACAGCACCTAATGAAAACAGAAGACACCTAGAGAGATTACATTACCAGTCGGCCTTGCCTCAGGACATAAATCAGTTACCCTGCACTGCCTTCGAGGGCTCAAATAGGCCTAATAAATAATGATGCCTCTGAAAATAACAGTGGGGAAATAAAGCAAATAGACTCCTAGGGATGAAGTATAATTATGTCTCCTTGATCAATTAGAAACAATAACAAGCATGTCAAAGTTGAACAGCCCCAACATGAACACCTGCAGTGTTTGGAAACGACCCTAAGGTGAAGTTGGTTTATTACATGTTCTTATTAGCTTAGAGGATGGGCTGCACATAGTGCTTTCACAAGCAAAGACTTGAGGGATAATTTAAATCAATAGACTAATCACAAACTTGACTTCCATCCAGTTGTTATCCTGCCATATATTTGATGTACACACTCTCACTTGTCACCAATCCACCATTAAGTCTGTATTTTGGTTATAGGTTAAAGAATTGAGGTGATAATTGTCTTGTCCCCAACATTTATTTATTTCGGTTAAGCCTTAAGGTACGAGAGACTGTGCGAGCCTGTGAGCCCTTTAGCCATTCACAATATAGTGTCTTACTGATGCAGTCAAGAACAATTAAGCAATGCCATTTAGTTCTTGTGTTATTATTACATAATATTTTTAAAAGATTAATCAGCTACTCACTATACTGCATGCTCACTATACTATACTACTCACTATAGTCTAACTGTTTGTTTTGTTTTCTCCCTTCTAGTACCACGAAATCATGGGCAGAACAATGTGCTTGATATCGATTTACACATTGAACTGGGCAACACAGAAGAGGAGCTGAAGGATGACCCAGGTAAGAGACGGCTGCTTTTATTTTGGCTGAAACTGCGGATGGATTTTCAGTGTTTGATGATTGCTGTAGTCTGTAGATATATAGAAACAGACATACTGTACTGTATGGGAACACAGTGAGCCTGTATATTTGCAATTACCTCACAGTCATCTTGTAGTTATTAATCTTGACTTACTATGATGTCACTCCAGATGAATTGGCTCAGTGGTATGAGGTGAGCAGCTTTCATTGGCCTTCATGAAATACTCACGCTTCACTGAACCCTGTGGGAAATTCAGGAATAGCACCGTTTTGAGTTACTTTTCATTTAGCAGTTTCACCTACTCGGCTTGCAAGGGCAGTTCCCCTGGAGCGATCTGTTCAGTGTGTTACTCAGGGCCGTGATGATAATAGAGGATCTCAGTTAATGGGCATCTTGAATCGATCCCGTAATGCTGGGAATAGCAGCTTAGAGCCTTAACCAGTATTTTGTTTGTATGCAAACAGGGTGTGAGATATTAACACTTGCCACCAGCCACATGATTGATTTTTATCTACCAGTGTGGAGGGAGACCTATAAGAAACATATATCTGTCAAGGCAGGGCATTGTTTGGAAACAAATTTGATTTTTTTTTTTATAGATATCTGATATTACAACATTAAATTTGACTATGTTCATTTCCTTTACACTCTTAAAAATAAAGGTTCCAAAAGGGGTTTTTCACAGCGATGCCATAGAAGAACCCGTTTTGGTTCCCCAAAGAACCTTTCAGTGAACAGTTCTTAAAAGAACAATTTTTTCCTAGTGTGCAAGGACATTTTAATAATCTAAAGAACCTTTTCCCACTGTAAATAACCTTTGGTTTCATGGATGGTAAAGGTTCTTTGTGGAACCATTTATGCCAATAAAGAACCTTTATTTTTAAGACTGTATTTTTGTGAATTACTTTAATTCTGAAGACATATTCCTCCAAACTAACAGACATTTACAAAAAATGCCAGCTAAAAAAAGGCACAAAAGCTGTCACTGGGACGTCTCCTTTCAAAAGGTACAAATATCTACAATATAAATACTAATATGCACGTACAGTACAAAAGTATTAAGGTATATTAGAAAACGTTGAACTATTTGGTAACACTTTACAATGAAATTCCTTAGTTAACCTTACATTAGTTAACATGAACTACAGTAACATTGAAAAATTCTTCTAAAACATTAATTAATCATTGCTAATTTAAATTTCAACATGTACGAATACATTTTTAAAATCAAAATGTATCTGTTAGGTTATTGTAAAGTGTTACGAATATTCTTTATTCCATAAAAGTAAAATTAATTTTATGTAATGAAAATTAAATAAAAAATTCCAGAAGTCCCATTTTATTTATTATTAATATCTAATGCTTCTGGAAATACCCTATGTTTTGTAACCCACATTTTAACGGGGTCGTATGATGCTATTTTACAGATCATTATTTTGTGTATTTGGTGTAACAGAATATGTTGACATGCTTTAATGTTCACAAAACACATTATTTTTCAAATACTGTACATTATTGTAGGTCCTCTATGCCCCACCTCTCAAACGCGTCGTTTTCAACAAAGCCCCTCCTGCCGACAAGCGCAGTCTGCTTTGATTGGCCAGCTGACCCAGTGCATTGTGATTGGCCGAACACCACAAGCATGCGTCGGAAATGTAATGCCCCTTACCATAATCGCAGCTTCAGCTTTCAAAGTAAATATCAATAATGTTGTTAGTTTTACCATAAGTTCAAGCCCGAAAGGGCAACAGAGTCGCGTGACAGACACAGTGATGATGCAGTACACAAGCCACGGTTAAGACAGCTGACGTGCTATGATTTCTGACAGGCAGTTCACTCTCCTGTGATGTGACCCTGTTCCCCTCACACACACACACACACACACACACGACGCATTACTCTGCGGTGCGCAAAACTCCGCATTTGAACAGTCAATAGCAAATACTTAAACTAATAACAAAACATACTTACAGTCGCTGATTCAGAAGCGCCAGATTGTCATAGCAAAGTCGGAATTGACCCTTTTTTTTTTTTTTGAAATAGCCTTTGTGCACAGCCAGCCTTGTACTCTTCTAGGTTCAAAAAACTGTCGTCCATAAAATGCGTTGCACAAATTCGAACATCTGGGTTGTGCTGTTCTGTTGTAAATAAATCTTAACCAATGATTCCTAATTGCATCTACTTCTGGAAGGCCAAATAAAGTGCTTTTGCTTTCCCACTGAAACACACAGTGTCTCCCTGACATGGCTGCATCAACACAACGGCTGTTCCTGAAACCACGCCTCCTTTCTTTGTGTGCACAGTTGGGCGGCATTATGCTAATCTTTCCACATAGTGAGGTGAAGTGAAGTGACAAGTGCTCTGCATTTATCCCATCCAAAGTGCACACACAGCAGTGAACGAATACACACACCGTGAACACACACCCGGAGCAGTGGGCAGCCATTTATGCTGCGGCGCCCCGGGAGCAGTTGGTGGTTCGGTGCCTTGCTCAAGGGCACCTCAGTCGTGGTATTGAAGGTGGGAGAGAGTGCTGTACATTCACTCCCCCCACCTACAATCCCTGCTGGTACGAGACTCGAACCCACAACCTTTGGGTTATGAGTCCGACTCTCTAACCATTAACCACGACTTCCCCCCAGTGAGGTAGATATGTGGGGGCGTGTTAGAATGAGCCGTTTTAGGTAGGCGTGGTTGACTCTTAACTTTTATAAAGAATATCTCTTTGGATTTGAGACTTTAGTCTTTGCAACTTTACAGAACTTTACTTCTTTATGCACCAAGAGCTTGTATCACTCCAAAGAGAAAGGAAAACTTGAAATCGCATCATATGACCCCTTTAAGTAATTTAGACTGAAAAATTAAATGTGCTTTATTGACAACCATTCTTATGTAATTTTTTAAATTTGATTTCATTTTAATTCCTCTTAAAAATTAATTTTTTTTGCTGCCTTATTTATTCAATTAAATTCTGAATGGTGCACAATCCTTGTCCATTGCTGAAAAATAAAATGTCCCACAGCAATTGTGAATGTTCATATTGACAAAATTATGAATATTTTTTTTTCATTTCAAAGTAATTTCTAAAATTGTATTTAATTCTTGTCAGTTGGATTTTTGAGCCATTGTGTGGTATTCCACAGAGACTGGACATCTGAGCTGCTCTTTTGACCACGGTCTCTGTGCATGGATCCAGCGCAGAGAGGGAGACCTTCACTGGGAGACAACAGCAGATCCTTCAGGTACAGACCATTTTTCACTATGTTATTTTTTTTTTTTTTTAATAAAATGTTTTTGGGTCAATGACAAATGAAGAAGTCTCAGATGATAAAAATAAAAATTAATTAAAATTTGATGCAGGTGCCATGCAATCTTTATATTCATATTTCACACTTTATTTGATGAATCTAAAAAGGTCAAGTTCGGTAAATATTTGGTATAAAGAATTAAAATTTCAAATACACTTTTTAATCATTAAAGAAAGATTTTTTAAACATCTTCAAGGTAAAATTTTTTTCAAATATTATGCATTTTTGAACCATGCATTTTGTGGAGATATTGTTTTCATATATAAACCTGTATTAACCTTACCATGCCAATAAAAGGTGGGCGTTACCTGACGATCTCAGAGGGCGGAGAGAAGCGAGGTGGGCGTGGCGCTCAGCTGATCCTCCCCCTGACCACGCCCTGGAACGAGGGGAACCTCTGCCTGGCCTTCAGACACAGCATGGCGGGGCACCACGTGGGCATGCTGCAGGTATTCGTCCAGAAGGGACGGCAGCACAGTCCCGCCGTCTGGGGTCGAACGGGAGGAAACGGCTGGAGGTCGACGCAGATCACCATTTGGGGCAATGGGCTAGAAAGCGTAAGTGTCAGCACTCACATCACCATTTGAGAGCAGGTCAGCTGGAAACCAGCATTGCTGTTTTGTGATTTATGTCATTACAGGTGGTTGTGAAGGGTGAGCGGCGGAGAGGCCGTAAAGGCGAAATAGCTCTGGATGACATGAGTCTCAAACGGGGTTCCTGTCAGGAAGAGCACAATCTGAGGAGACTTTAACACCACCAACAGAGACTTTTAATGCCAGCTTTACTCACGGGACTCTAGGAAGACGGACGCTTTACAGAAAGGGACGTGGCTTCCTGTCAGTCCCGGTACAGTTATGGTGCACTTCCTCTGGCCTTCCTCAATGGCTACAAGTGCATGTTCCAGCTCAATACAGTGCTGCAGGTATGACATATTTTTGTAGGCCAAATCCTGGAAATGAGTTCGCATTTTAGTATTTCAGTTTCCATCGTCCTAAAGTCAATGTTTTTTTATTTAATGCATGGTTAAAAGCAAGCTCAAGATATTTTCGCATTTTATTCTAAGGCATAAAATGCATCAGTAAAACCCTCTTGTGATTTTTATTTAAAGCTTTTACTTGTCTTGAAAAAGGCAGTCGCTAAGTGGCAAAATAGGTCTATAGAGGTTGTCGGGGACATTAAACGTCATCGCGCTGAACAGGTAAACTCATCTACTCGCTTGTCGCTTTCACAGCCTCGTGTTTTTAATGGCGCTCTTAAACTATTCTAACTCAAACTTTCAGGGAAAATGTTTATTAAAAAAAAGACTAAAGTGTTATTGGAAGTGTAACGGTGGTAACGCTGAAATCATGCGATCGTTGTGTAGTTTGTTTACCATTTTACTTCTGGTGAGTTGTGTTCATTTGTGAAGATTTTCACGATGAATGAAACATGTAAGAATCACAAACTTTTGCTGGTCACAGACCTTATTTTCTACAGTAATCCAAAAACCAATTGGGTTTTTGTTGAGTGAACCAAGATGATGCTAACTTCCAGGTTTGCCTACAAAAATACATTACTGCAGCGCTCTATTGGATGTCTAAAATGTCAGAAGTCTGAAAATATACTTTTGTATATTTTAATTTTGTAGATGTAAAATTTGTCTCCCCCTTCTAATATTTGTGTCGAACTGTCAAACAGACATTGTCATGCCATTGTAAATGCAAGTTGCCCAGTTGAACTGTTTATTTGCCACCTGAATGATGTCTTCAAAATCCCTTTTTAAATTCGGCCCACGTGCTTTGTTAACCAGCTAATCTGAGTGACTAACTATTTTTGGTGTATTATTGTAAATGTATTCATACATGTGTGTATATATATATATATAAATATATTTCAAATATGCTTTGTAGGTGCATATATATGTGAATTCTTCATCGTATAAGTGATGCAGGACAATGTTTACATCACACAACCCAGTTTTGAGTATTTTATTGACGTATATTAAGTACAAACCAGTAAACTGTTCTGAATTTTACTTATTAATGGCTGTATCAGCCATTCTGTATGATCATTATCACAACCATGGTTACCCTTTAAGACTGTGTGTTTAATATGAAAGCTCTTGGTTTAATATTCAGATGACGCAACGATCTCCAGACATTAAAAGGTGTGAACGTAAAATATATGTCTTGTATTTTCTTAATCGTTCAGTAGCGTGACAATAGTTCAGAGCAGCTTAACGAGTGAGAAACGGATTGTTTTTGTCATGTTGTTTTGCACACACAGCTTTACAATTGAACAAGCGGAGGCAATAATTAAGCAACTCTCCAAAACTATCCTGTCTCTTATTTGAAGAACTGAGAAGCCAAATTCAATTAGTTAATCAGTTCGGCTGCAGCAATTAAATGATCTGTTTATTCATTTGACTCAGTGTGACGACAGCTGCACAGCACTATATATTGTCTTTTTTGTAGCAATAATATGCATTTATAATTTGATTACATTTCGAACATTATTATATATTAGTAAAATTAATAATTAAAAAAAATAGTTAAGTTGAATGCCGTGCATCAGTGTGTTTTTGAGTCAGTTCTATTAATTATGCAAATGTATCTTTTCAGATGCTTTTCAGACACTGCTTTTGTGCTAGAATAAAGTCTGAAAAACATCAGACCTCATTCATGAAACGTGCAGAACTATTGTGTAAATCGTTCAAAAATGCTTTCTTGTGTAAAATCATTGCGTTCAACTCAATAATGATTTGCACAGAAATGTGCTCTTGCTTGCATTTTCCTCGCATGAACAAGGTCCATTTATTGCTTCGCTTTACTGTCTTATGGCCTTGATCTATCTGAATCTGTGAAACTCCCTATACAAGAAATTCAAGTCCCATTGTAAGCAATTTAAAAAATATATGTTTAGAAGTGGCAGTTTTGAGTTGTTCTGAGAGCGTTCAGTTATAACCTTGGTACAATCAACTGTAATTTTCATAAAGAAATGCATTTTTCAACAGTACAAAGTATTCAAGGACAATCATGCCTCGTCTGACCTTTGTTTGAATCCAGATGACTGTTGCTTATGTATATTTTTGAAATAAGAATCTTCTGATGTAAATCCATTTTAGTGTCAAGTGTTTTATATAATATAAATGAAAATTAAAGTCATTTAAATGTGTTTATTATCCTTCTTTTTTAATAAGTTATATAACAAAATAAATAATTATAAACATTATAAATAAAAATTTAACTAATAAACAATTTATGTATGTATGTGTGTGTGTATATATATATACACACACATACAGGTGCATCTCAAAAAATTAGAATATCGTGAAAAAGTTTATTGCAAAAAGTGAAACTTTCATATTTTCATATATTCATTAAATGTAAAGTAAAACATTTCAAAAGTTTTTTTTTGTTTTAAAATATTAAAATGTTAGATATATTTACATTTGAGTGTCATTAAATGACCATCCTTACAGCATAAATTCCGGGTACACTCTTAAAAATAAAGGTGCTTCACGATGCCATAGAAGAACTTTTTGTCTAAATGGTTCCATAAAGAAGCTTTAACATCTGAAGAACCTTTCTGTTTCACAAAAGGTTCTTTGTGGCGAAAGAAGGTTCTTCAGATTATAAAAAGGTAAGAAAGAGATGGTTCTTTAAAGACCCTTTGACTGAATGGTTCTTTGTGGAACCAAAAATGGTTCTTCTATGGCATCGCTTGAAGAACCTTTTGAAGCACCTTTATTTTTAAGAGTGTATCGCTTGTTCTTTGAAACCACAATAATGGGGAAGACTGCTGACTTGGCAATGGCCCAGAAGACGATCATTGACACCTTCCACAAAGAGGGTAATTCACAGAAGGTCATTACTGAAAGGAGGTGGCTGTTCACAGAGTGCTGTATCAAAGCATATTAAATGCAAAGTTGACTGGAAGGAAGAAATGGAGTAGGAAAAGGTGCACAAGTAACAGAGATTTATACCGCAAGCTTGAGAATACTGTCAAGCAAAGCCGATTCAAACACTTGGGAGAGCTTCACAAGGAGTGGACTGAAGCTGGAGTCAGTGCATCAAGAGTCACCACGCTCAGACGTCTTCAGGAAAAACCGAAACAACATCAGAAGCATCTTACCTGGGCTAAGGAGAAAAAGAACTGGACTGTTGCTCAGTGGTCCAAAGTTCTCTTTTCAGATAAAAATAAATTTTGCATTTCATTTGGAAATCAAGGTCTGGAGTCTGGAGGGAGACTGGAGAGGCACAGAATCCAAGCTGCTTGAAGTCCAGTGTGAAGTTTCTTAAGTCCGTGATGATTTGGGGTGCCGTGACGTCTGCTGGTGCTGCTCCATTGTGTTTTATCAAGTCCAAAGTCAATGCAGCCGTCTACCAAGAGATTTTGGAGCACTTTATGCTTCCATCTGCTGACAAGCTGGAGACGTTGATTTCCTTTCCAGCAGGACTTTAGCACCTGCCCACAGTGCCAAAACCACTTCCAAGTGGTTTGCTGACCATATTACTGTGCTTGATTGGTCAGCCAACACGCCTGACCTGAACCCCATATGGAATCTATGGGATATTTTCAAGAGAAAGATGAGAAACAGTCGATCCGAGCTGAAGGCTCAATAGTGCCTCAGCAATGCCACACCTCACTGAGGCTGTAATTTGTGCTTAAGGAGCCCCAACCAAGTATTGAGTGCATAAATTAACATACTTTAAAGAACTTGAGCTTTTCTGTTTTGCAAATCCTTTTTTTTTTTTTGATTGATTGATCTTAGGAAATATTCTAACATTTTGAGATACTGGATATTTTGCCTTTACACTTTTAAAAACATAAGGCTGTTTGAAAAAACCTTTGCAAAAGATTAGTCTTGTAGTAGAGTTGTATTCTAAAGGCACAACATTACAGCCAGCAGGAGTGAATGATGAGTGTATTTTTATATTCTCCTGTTGCTCTGGGCTGAGTAGCAATGAGGTTCAAAATCCCGCAGTTATCTAAAATATCAATTTTATTGATCCCCGAGGGGAAATTGTAAAAATAAGCACATTTGGCTCTGAACTTGCTGTTGAAACGGCAGCAGTCACCTCTAGAGACACAGCTGTGCATTGTGTGGAGGTGAAGTATGTACTTGCAGTGGCAACTTTATTTGGTGCACTTGCCTACTGTAGTCTTATTAACTCCATCTTTCGCTTCTAGCACAGTCTGAATTCTTGCAGCATGGAAACACTGTTAACGATACTTTGTAACATGACTGGTAATGTGAAGGTCTGGTACCCCTGTACCCCTAAATGGATCCATGCTTTCAGGAGCAATGCATATGCAAATAACTGGTTTTAAAGAAATAGTTCACCTAAAAATAAAAAAATGCATCACTTACACGCATTTCATTCCAAACCCGTGTGACCAATAAAAAAAACATTTTAGTGAATTGTTGGCCTTCTGAAAAGTATTTTTATTTACTGTACATGTACTCAATACTTGGTAGGGGCTCCTTTTGCTTTAATTACTGCCTCAATTCGGCGTGGCATGGAGGTGATCAGTTCGTGGCACTGCTGAGGTGGTATGGAAGCCCAGGTTTCTTTGACAGTGGCCTTCAGCTCATCTGCATTTTTTGGTCTCTTGTTTCTCATTTTCCTCTTGACAATACCCCATAGATTTTCTATGGGGTTCAGGTCTGGTGAGTTTGCTGGCCAGTCAAACACACCAACACCATGGTCATTTAACCAACTTTTGGTGCTTTTGGCAGTGTGGGCAGGTGCCAAATCCTGCTGGAAAATGAAATCAGCATCTTCAAAAAGCTGGTCAGCAGAAGGAAGCATGAAGTGCTCCAAAATTTCTTGGTAAACGGGTGCAGTGACTTTGGTTTTCAAAAAACACAATGGACCAACACCAGCAGATGACATTGCACCCCATAT